CGTCGCTCTTTATGGCATAAATAACTTCATATAGAGTTGACTTAAAATATGAAATAGTTTCCTGTACTCAAAGCGATATAAGCCTCTGAAGCCATTTAGCTCAATTTAAGGAATGCATTGGTCTATCAGACTGATGCAGCTCTAAATTGTAAATTGTGGCTTTGGTATAATGTGGTTCAGGATTTGTACAGCAAGCAAGTAATACTTTTGAGCACGAGTTTTGTTGTGTCAACTTTGTGATACTTGTGACATTGCTACCCTCCAACTATGGTCAATACTGTTACTTAGTGTAATTTTATGGTGGCAAGTGTTCTGTTCCACTGCTTCCTTAATGCAAAATAACTAACCACAAACTAGGTCATGATCATGGCCATGATTCCATGGAGTGTTCAAAATGCAGGGTAGGAAAAAAATTGTGAAATCCAGTGGGCCCCCACTAAAATATTACTTGCCCAATAGGCACAACTATGGAAAGAAATACAGAATGTTTGTGTTTTTCGTTGCGATCTTTAATCTACCATGTGCTTTATTAGTATGGAGTGTGTTCATTGTTACGTAATAAAAAATAAAATCAAAAACCATTCAGTGGATAAAGTCAAGAAATTGTGATATTATAGAAGATAAATAAAGAAGACAGTTCTCCAAATTTAGGGTGTGTGCATTGTCCCAAAGTTGACAAATTTGTCAAAATATTCTGCGCAAAATTATAGAGCCTAGTATGGAGCTGTCAGGTTGGTGGACCTCCTTAGCCCTCCAATATGGCGGCCAGAAAATAGTGTAATCATCTGGAACTTGCTTTGGCCATCTAGTTGACTGATTATATGAACCGAACCAAAAAACATTTACACACACACTTTCCCTAATACTTTAACTCCTAAAATGGCTAAAAATCACGAGATAAGTGTATATTTTTTGACAAACGTGATTTTAGCTTTCTCTCATGCACAACCCTAACTCCGAAATTTAAAACGCACTGGTTTCCAAACGAAGTTCACTATTGAGCTGGAAAGTTGTAAACAGATGTAAATTTAGTACCTCTTATGCCTGATGAGGATAAAACCTTTAGTGGCTCTTTAGTTTTGGATTTCAGAATTTGATGACATCACATGAACACACTCTCTTGCCAGACTTCTTTTTTCCAAACATGCAATATGGTAGCCAATATGGCAATCGGAGGACGAACACAAGCAACGTATGCTTGGATTTTAAATTAATCCATGTTTTCGACTCATTGTTATGCTCATCTTGCAGTCTGAAGTTTTGAAATTGTTTTTGATTGGAAATTATCACTAACAAGACTACTGAGGCTAATTTCACTTCCCCATGAGACCACCAAACTTCTATTTTCACTTGCCATAGGGCAA